AGAATATATATATATATACATATATATATATATAGTAATATATAATTTACATCATATAATATATAATACATATAATATTATATGTAATATAATTATAATAATTATATTATATAATATTATATAATTATATATTATATAATAATATATTATAATAATATATTATAATAATATATTATATATTATATATATATTTTATATATATATATAAAATCCTATTCACATTTAGCAAACTTTGACAGTGAAAATCATTTAAAACAAGTATTTCAAGAAATTTATAGACCCCACTTGACTGAATATAGGCCTGTTTGTTATAAATTATGCTGAGTAGTTCACTATACTCTGAAATCAAGAAGCTGGGGAAGCAGGCTTCCTTCTATGGTATAGAATCTATACCTAGTTTTCCAACCAGACAAGAAATGATCAGAAGTCAGCCAAATCTGCACTAATCAAACTATGTGGCTAACAGGAATTCCCATGTATAGGTGTTGAGCAAGGAAACTAATTAGAGAACAAAAGAGGTGGATAAGGATCTTTAAAAACCAGTTAAAAGTGGTGACAAAAACCAAGAAGCACCAATAGGACTGGGAAAATTAACCACATTTTAGCATGGCATAGCCATCTGTCCCCACCATTTGTGTATGTTGCTGCCTGCAGGCTGGAGAGGTGACATCTGCACTTTATAATGACAATGAAGATGACCAAGCACCAATTCTGTTACTTCCAGACTCAGAGAGCCCCTTTGGCCACCTTAGTGTTTTACCTACCCTACTAGTTTCATAGGATGGTTGAGGGGACCCGTGTAAAATTTCCTCGAAAGAGCAGCAAACTCTAGACAAAGCCAGTGCACTGTCAATCAGGACTGAAAGGGGTAGGGGAGAAGGGTGCTGTTGGGATGCTGCTGACAGTGGTTCAGAGCTTCCCTATAAAGAACAGTGAAAAGATAAAACAGCTTCTAAAAAATATCTTATTCACTACTCCATTCCTTCCACTTCCAGCACCATGTTTTTGTTTATTTTGTTTGCTGTACAATGTATTTGTTTACAGATGAGGCAGGTGTGGAAATGAAAGCTGAAATGTTAAACCCTTCATTTCAGGGGTCAGCAATCTGGGGCCTGCTGGCTGCTTCTGCTGTTGTATCACAACACAGCCATGTTTTATAGCTGTCTGCATTGCTCTGTAACGGGTGTTCAACCTAAACTCATGCACTATCTAACCTGAGGCAACTGCCGAATCCTAAGCTATCTAACTGGGATGAACTCAGTCCGTCATCTCCTGGCAGGCAGGGTGATAACGACAAGTTATCTTACACCTCAAACTCTGGTTCACCTGTTTCAAAAAGGAAAAAAAGCAAGCATCCAAGGGAAGTACATTTAAATTTTTATTACTTTTTAAAAAAAATCCAACTTCAGGTAAATTAACAGACTAGATTAGAGCCTCAATTGAATCTGATACATTATATACTGGATTTCTACTACTAAAAAGCCAGTTGGAATATGGCCTACACAAACCCAGAGTGTATACAAAATGGAAGTGATATGGGCAATCACTGTGTCTTCCCACCTGTTGACTGCCATGCTCCGTGGGGACTTGAAGGTTCAAGATGAACACAGACGAGAAACCCAATGATGCTTTTATAGGAAACTCTGATGTCCCAGACAACCCTTTTCCTCCTTCCATTTAGCTGTTACTTACAGCATTTATTACCTCCAAATGGTCTAAACTGATGAGGTGAGGGTAAGTACAAACTGTGCCTTGCCTAGTCCACCAGAACTTCATTATCAGCTTCTTTTACCAACAACTGTCAAGTAACTTTTTACCTTTGCGCACTACACACACATGGCTCCAGTGGGAACATTAAATCAGGACACCTTCAGACATGCTCACAGTGAAGGACTAGTACTTCCCCTCATCTGGACTGTAACTCATACAGAATGTCTGCAGGTGTGTGCCACCCTTCTGTTCTACCCTTTCTGCAAAACCAGGTTAGTCCTAAATACACTTGCAGACAATCCTCCATTTCCACTCCTCTGGCCTCTTTAATGCCATGACTGCTAAAATACAGCTTACCTGCAGAATTTTACATGATAGAAAACATGAACATCTGTGCTTCTGTAAATCACTACTCCTATTGCATGTTCCAAGTCAATAGAATGAAGCCCTAAGAAGTGCTGAAATCTGAACTTAAAATCCAGATGGAACTGCAGTGTACACGTTTCTACATAAGGCTTTGTTTGCCCCTACAATTCATGTATAGAAGCCCTTCGGTATGTAGCTATTCCTGAACAAATGACACTAATACACTTTTTTCTTTTTACATTTGTAAAAATTCAGGAAGTTTAAAAATAACATCTGCAAGACATTTGGCATAAAGTGATTAGTAAACATTTAGGAAACAAATGCTATATCAAAATGAGCACAATCTGTGGATTAACCCTTAAATAGAGTGGCTTTGGAAGAACTGGAATTTGCAGCAACCACCTTCAGGGCCACCCACCACCAGTGGGAAACACCGAGCATACCGCCCATGAGGTTCAGACAGCACAAGACAATGGTTCTAAGGGCATGGGGTTTCTCCTATGTAATACACTAGCATACTTGAGGTCCCTCCAGCAAGGTCAGCTCACTTTTGCCTACTCTTGTACTTGGAGACCAGTATAAGAAGTCAATTTCTAAAGCAGTTAATTTTCAGGAAACATGCTTAAAGATAAAAAATATATTCTTAGTTTCTGATAATATTCAAAGCATCAGCTGACAAACTAAGCAGATGTTAGTAAATTAAATAACAGCATTAATGGAGTACAAAAGCCCTACCTTCCAATTAACTTAGATACTGTTTGAACGATTCTACTGAGAACTAGGAAGAACTAGGCTACCTGTGACCTGTATCTTTTTCAAGATATACATTTATGTTGCCCCTCTGTGAGTCATAAACCAACCAATACAAGTATTTTTATAAAGGATCTTTCAAAATAATTTATATTCATTTTAATGTTCTTAATATATTTGAAATTTATTTTTCATTGTAGACTTCAAAGAACTCCAGAGCTCAACTTAGCAGAAAAAATGGTATACCTGAAACAGCCATGTTCTCTGAAAACCCTACACCTTACCTGCAAGATTATGAGAAACAAACATTTTAAGACAAAAATTTGCTATCTAGTTTACATATACTCCACTGGACAGAAAAAGTGTTGTTAAGTCTCATTTTTGGAAATAGGGTGTCATATAGCATAGGGAGTGCTGAACTCACTATGTAGCTGGAGGGTAGCTTTGCACTTCTGACATCCTCATGCCTCTACCTGTTGAATGCTGTGACTGCTAATACGTCCTATTCCACCAGTAATGCAGTGGGGGATGGAACCGGGGCTTTGTGTAAGTGACGCAAGCCCTCTAACTGAGCTACACCCCCAACTGTAGACTAAGTGTTCTTATCTTAAAAACACTTTACATGATATAAACAAATAGTGCCTTTTAGATGATAAGGGCAGGTTAGAAAGAGAAAATTTAAGAATTAGTAGGTGACACTGAACCTGAGTTTCTGGCTTGAGACTGACTACAGCTCTATTCACATTGCTTACAGCTCTCACATAAGGTTAGAATTCAAACACCCTAAAGATGTCACATGCCTCAGTTTAAGACATGGAGTCCATTGATTTATAAAAATATCTCATATAACTATGAATGCATGAGTTTCACATTAAAGTTTAATGCAGATGATCTGAGTCTTTTTAAAAACACCAAAATACAGTATAGTTTTGGGTATGTGCAGGGCAAAGTACTGAATTAGGAACTCAGTGGTTCTAGGAACTTCACAATATGGGCAGATCCAGAAAATGTATGTGCAAATTAAAATAATTTGAGATTTCTGTAGCCTTCATTGATTCACACACTGAATGAGCTAACACTGTTAGCTTAGCCACTTCATTCCCTTCTAATTTACATAAAACAGCAATCCAATGAATGCTTAGATTTGTATGTCACAATTTCATATAAATAAAGAGTTTTATCACCTACTTTGTAACTATCCACATCCAGGCTTCCGAACTTAGTTCTTTTGTTTTTGTCTGTTTGTTTGTTGGAATGATCTTACAGTATAGCACATAACTCATTCTGTAGCTCAGTTCTCAAATTTATTGCAACCTTCTGTCTTAGCTTCCCTGGTGCTGGGATTATAGGCATAAACCATCACACCTGGCTCTGTCTTTGGGGATTTTAAAGTGTGGGTCCTCTGTATTAAAAGTATGCTTTACAGTGTATTTAAAAACAAAAAAAATCATGGCATTCTATATTGCCTTTTGAACAAGTACCTTCAAATTATAAACACATCTATTGTCACAAAACAATTTGGTCAGGAAATTTTATTTGAACATTCTAAAGCAATAATGCTTTAGATGTTACTTAAATGTCCCAGACAGGATTAACAAAATTAAATGTTTCTAAATTACAAATTTAGCTCCAGTAGGAGTTTCATAAAAGAAGAAAATAACCCCCTCCCAAAAGAAGTATGACACACACATCTTGAAGAAACCCCAATGTTTCATGCAATGGTAGGCGAGATGTGAAAGCCACCAAACCCACACGTTTCTACACCAATCATCATCCCAAAGAGTCCTCCAGTCAATCTGTACATCCAAATGCATCCAGGGACCTACAGCTACACGACATTATTAATGTTATATACACTTATTGCCCCCCTTATTTTTAATAATTTCTTGTGTAAAGCCTTCATTGAAACCCAAAAAAAGATGTAAGACTAACAGGGGGAGGGGGAGGGAAATATAATCACTTTAGACATTCAGGTAAAATGTAATTTATCTAAATCTCCAAATGTTTAATAAAAACAAGGATCTTCTCCATTTAACACTTTGCTTTCTAACTGTACAGTAAAATGCATTATAGAGTTCACCTCTATTTTCATACTGTATTTTCTTTGGATGGAATTGAGATAGAACTGGTTAATTTTAAGATAAATAAATGAGGTTGATCCAACTAAGATTAAGATGACAGCAGATATATTCCATGCAGAATTTAATAGTTTTTAATTTTGTTAAAAAAAAAAAAAAAGATGCAGTTGAATGGAGGGACGACCAAAAACAGGTCAAAAAGAACCCAGGTTCAATATATAAAAATGTCCCACAATAGATCAACAATGGCAGTAAAAATAAGAGAAAAAGTAATCTTTCTGGAACATCATTTTTCAATAACATAGAAACACTAAGTGCCAGGAAGATTTCTACTCATGGAATTTTAGCATCCAAGTTTCCCTATAGTTCTTTTATTGAAACAAATGCTTTAAATAAACTATTGGTCCTCTTCACTGAAGAGAGCTGGTCTATTTCATCTTTAATGAGCTAGTTTGGGGAAGATTAGCCATGTACTGTAGTAAAGCCTACTGCATAAAATCCAAGCATTTGCTGTGAACAGTTGGAGAAAGCAGTCAGTAAGAACCTAGGATCAATGGAGATAGATGTCACTTTAAGCCACCCATGAGAGAGACACACGAGTACCCAGTGTTAAGCCCAAATCTCTTCTTCCGCTTATTCTTCTTTTCTGTGCAAGCTCCACCGGCATGAAAGAGAAACTGATCCCAAGTTCCAGGTTGTCTCAGGTGTCTAATCAATCTTCACATTAGTATAGATTTTTCGAACAAAGGCACTTGTTCCCATGTAACCAATTGCTCCTGAAAAAATAAAATAAATTTTGAAACAAATGTAGTGGGATTAGGGTCTGCCATTTACAAATATTAAATGTTCTCTGTTCTAGAGAGTTCTACTCCTTTTTCAGGGTAATGTCTTTATGTCAATATTCTCTCTGAATTTCTTAAATGCTATCAGTTGCTTTGCAAGGCATCTGCTATAGCCACACATAACCTATTATTTAGAATTAAATCACAATTATTACTTGTATGGTAATTATGGAATTAAAATATAGCTCACAAAAGAGAGCAACTTGATAATGACAAATCCACTCCATGAAAGCAATACTTTTTTTTTTTTTTTTTTAATTTGGAGATAGTCTTGCTATATATAGCCCAGGCTGTCCTTGAATTCTGGAACCTTCTGCCTCAGCCTCCTGGGTACAGGTATTAGAAGTGTGAATGACCATTCATGGCAATATCCAGATGTTTCCAAAAATTTACAGAGCCTTAAGAAGTAATGAGGGAGACTTTGGGGGATGGAGAAAAGCATGACCCAGTGGTGCTGCAATCCTAGAGAAAGGTACTTTCTGGTGTTGCCTTTTTATATTTAAGTTAGAAGACAAAAAGAGACAATCGCTCCTCAAATGGGGATCAAAATTTCAGGAAGCAGGGCAGGATGTTAATGAGATACATTCTGTGGCTGAGAGCACCCAGCACACTACAGTCACTCAGTGACTATTTGTTGAAAGAACAGACGAATGAATGAACAAACCAAATACTCTTCTTAGATAAATACCTGGGGCTTTTTTTTTTTTTTTTTTTCTCTTTAATTTGGAACCCTTTAGAATAGCAGGTCAATGACCATTCTTCACCAGATTTACTCCTTAAAATTTTTAAATTACATCTTCCATGAGTTAATTAATAGTCCACACACACATTCTAACTAGTCACTTTTCTAACAGTACTAGGGATTGAACCCCAAGGTTTTTACGTGTTAGACAAGCACTCTGAGCTACAACCCCAAGCAAGAACCGATTTGTATTCACCAAACTGAGCTCAATGTGACAAAACACATAAGGAAAAGAGGACTCTCTTCATAAACAAATCTCTGTAATAAACAGGAGTCAGAGTTACAATATTGTAACAACCAATGAATTACTTAAAAGTAGGTAATAATTATCAATAGCTTCTAACTTTACACATATATCACATGCCTCCCAATAAAAACCTACAACCACAACGAAGTATTCTTGGATAAGCATTGAGTACAATAGGTTATTGAAGCTTGAACTGCTTTTTTACAGGAGTCATGAAGTAGACAGGTACATGGCCAAACACCTCAGGGATACAATTAGCCAAGTTCACTGGGAAAAACTAAATAGGTATGCTGTACTCACTGTCAGCAACCTGCACTGCCTTCTAGACACCTGTGTCTTCAGCAACATTCCAAGAAACATCTAAGCAACACCTCACTCCTGCTGACATTATAATCCTTTCCAATGATCACATGCTTTAAAATGCCAATTCTCAACTGTGTGCGGTGCCACACACACTTGTAACTCCAGCTACTCAGAAGGCTGGCTGGGACAGTAGAATCACTCACTTAAGACCAGACCTGAGTGAGAAACTAACCATAGTAATTCTGTGCTCCGCAGGATCATTACAACAGCTACAAAGATAGATATTAATCAGGCAATAGGTCAGATTTTAAGGGAGAGTCAAAAAGACTGAAGGCAAACTTCTGGATTCATTCTGGTGTTCCTGATAAAGCAACAAAATGCAATTCCTTAATTTCTATTTATTATTGGGTGAGGTATAAATGGAGGTCAACCAGCTTTCCGGGGTCCCAGGGATCAAAGTCAAGTTTTTCAGGCTTGAGCAGAAAAGACTTTTACCCACTGAACCACCCTGCCAGCCCAGAATTTCTTAATTTCTAATTACAGTGTTTTTCTGAGTCTGAGATACTCAAAATTTTTCTCCTGATGTTCAAAGAATTTAAAAACTTACCACACATTATCCCCAAGGCTGTGCTAAATACCGCCATATATCCAAAGTAAAATGATGTTTGAAATAAGCCGTACATCCTGCAATACAATAAAATCATATTCAACACATACATTTTACTTTCAATCTGAGGCTTTACACTTTATTATTTAAAGGGCAAATGTAGGGAACACAGGAGAGAAAAACTTACTTTGTCTTGAAAAAATAGTAGTAAAAGGAATACATGTAAACATAGATTGCAGTTGATGCAGCAGAGAGAAAACTTGTCCATTGCCTGGAAAAAAAACAAAATGAAAAAAGATTATGCCTTTGAAATGAATGACACTCAAAATTTTAAGGCAAAGAATTTTACAAAAGAACATCCTTTAAAGTTCTATGTGCTTAAAAACAAATCCCTGTACCCGATGCTTAAATATTAATGAAGAGCCTAGGAACTAGAAACACCAGAGTCCTGCCATATTCTGAGTGACTTTAAATAAACCAATTCCCCCTTTCAGACTTAAGTTTGAAACAACATGCTGCCTCATAAACTCAGCATGAAGCACTTTGCAGAAACATTTCGAATAGGACAAAAAAATTTGGAATGACACTTTCCTATAAAATTTTCATTACATTTACAACTAGAGAAAAAAAAATCCCTCTGTATCTTTTCTATTCATTCATTTTATCTTTTGAGTCAGAGTATCACTCTGTAGCCAAGTGCCTCCCCAGTGCTAGGGTTACAAGTGCGCACCGTCATTCCCAGCTCCTCTATTATCTTAAACAGCACTGTTTTTGTGTAAATCCTTTTCTCAGCTTAAACAGGTTTCAAGGGCAAACTTAAGATGTTAGGATCCTGCCTGGGTGTGGTGGCACGTAACTTTGATCCCAGTACTTGGGAGGCAGAGACAGGTGGATATATGTAAGTTTGAGGACAGCCTGGTCAGTATAGCAAGTTCCAGGACAGCCAGAGCTACATAATAAAGAGATCAGTCTCAAAAGAAAAAAAAAAAAGATGTTAGGATCCTGAGAGGTTCCACCTGAAGCACTTACCACCTATAGTCCTCTGCATTTAGCAGGAAGTATGTGCAGACGATGGTCACACAGACGGTCACAATGCACAGGATGACCAGCACCAGCATCATGAAGCCATAGACATAGTAGATCTTGTATGCCCAGAAAGATGTGAAGATGAAGTACCTAGGAAGAAACAAGGAGGACAGCTTTGAAGCTTACTCTGCTCTTGCCAGTCTTCTCTTAGCTCTCACTTTTAGTTCACTTAAAACTTGTTATCATCCTTTCTAGCAATTTCCAACAGTTTCTCTTAACTCTCATTAAATTCTCAATTTTTTTTTTTTTTTTTTTTGGTTTTTCGAGACAGGATTTCTCTGTGGCTTTGGAGCCTGCCCTGGAACTCGCTCTGAAGACCAGGCTAGCCTCGAACTCACAGAGATCCGCCTGCCTCTGCCTCCCGAGTGCTGGGATTAAAGGCATGTGCCACCAACGCCCAGCGTGATTCTTTTTTTTTAAAGAACAAACTCTTCTGGAGGCATTTAACTCTGAGTAAGATGACTAAATGAGAAGAATAAGTTAAAATATGGAAAATGAGAACAGCCTTAACCTATATCCATAAAATAAAGTCAATTCCTTTATTCTTTCATTTTTTAAGATGAAACACTAATCAAGTAATATATCCCACATGTTAGAAAGCATTCCATTAAACAGAAAAATAAGTGATAAACTTAAGAATATACAGAATATACAGAATTAGAAAACAAAATAGGAAGCCAAAGTCTAAAGGAGATTGATACTGTCTTCAGGACAGTGAAAGAGTAGTAATATTTTTCATTAAGAAAAAAAAAAATAATAAACCCTTTAAATCCACTCATTACTCAAATCATTCTTAACTTACTACAAGGTCTTTTAGTTCTTTTTTAAAAACTCCTGTTTTGTAATTCATTTACTCAATCACATGCCCACACATTTCAACTACTATTTACAGATCCCTTGCCACATATTAAGGGGTGACATAGGATGGTTTGAAGGGAAAAAGGAAAGGGGGAAATGATGTAATTATATTACAATCTCAAAAAATAAACAGGCACTTTAATTTATTTTAACTAAGTGAGCAGTAAAGATCAGCACTGTCAGGGAAACCTCTCTACTCTCCAGGAAGATTGCCAGCTGGTAGGAATGCCCAGCAGTTAGAAACCCTGACCCTCTGATGTGCACTACACCCAGAAAATGAAATGAGTGATTCCTCTAGTCCAGCTGGGCAAGGAACTGGGAAGGAGTGCAAACAGGACAAGACTCATGGGCAGGGGGGGAGCAGGAGGCAAACTTGTGATAGAAAACACCAGAAGCAGCCTACTGGTTCTAAGCAGAAGACTGGTTCTAAGTAAAGAAGACTGGTTCTAAGTAAAGGAATCAGTACGTTAAACAAAGAAAAGACTCTGGGGACTACAGAGATTGCTCAGCATTTAAAACCACCAGCTGCTCCTGCAGAAGACCTGAGCTTGATTTCTAGTTCCTACAGGTGGCTCACAACCCCCTAACTCCAGTTCCAGGGATCCTACACCCTTTTCTGGCCTCCATAGGCACCAGGCATACACACAGTACACACATAATGAATGCAGGCAAGCACTTAAAAACAAAACAAAATAAACAAACAAACAAAAAAAAAACTCAAAATGTTCAGCATGGCTAGAACTTCAACAAAAGGACAAAAGCTAAGAGAATGAATAGGATTGGCTCATTCGCTGAACACACCAGCTGGCCACATCATGCATTTCATGGCATTGAGATTTAAAGTCCTTAGCGATAAATGACATGAAGAGTCTGAAAGGTTGAAACATATAGACAAAATAAATAAAAATAAAGTAATCCTAGACTGATAGGTTAAAAATGCCTTTCCAGGAGGATAAGGTGTGAGAGAACCAAAGCAAGCATGACTTGAAAGAGCAGAGGAGTCTGTCTAATGGGTGAGGGCCACAGGAAGAGGGAAAGGCGTGACCTCTAGTACCAGGAATAAGTGGTCACATCAGATTGGGGATTAGCAGCTGGAAGTACAGAGCTCCAAACGGGCTTTATTAAACAAGTTAGAGTGACTTGTCCAGTCTCCTTCTAGGTACCCACCAATACTTGCAGCATAATCACAGCTGACAGACAATGAAAGACAACGACCTATTTATATATGTATACATATGAGTTGTGCTGATTATGCTTTTTAGCAACTAGATACAGCCAGACTAACATGGGGAGAGGAACCTCAATCGAGAAAATGCTTCCGTCAGATTGGCTTGTAGGCAAGTCAGTGGGACATTTCCTTGTATAATGGTTGATTTGAGAAGGCCCAGACCATTGCAGGCAGTGCCACCCCTAGGCAGGTGGTGTTGGGCTGTACAGGAGAGCAGGCTGAGCTGGCCATGGGAACAAGCCAGTAAGCAGGTTTCCTCTATGGTCTCTATACCAGCTCCTGCCTCCAGGTCCCTGCCTTGACTTCCCTTCATCATGTACTGTGACTCAGAATCTCCAACCCTTTAAGTTAAATAAAAGTATTCATTAAAAAGTTAGCAATCTCAGTATTTCATTATGGCAGTGCAAAACTCACTTCAGAGAGACCATGTTATCTGATGATTCCACTCCTCTCTAACAAGCTCTAATTCTTAAATTCTTGTTGTAACTAAATTTTTCAAAACATGAAAACATTGCCAAAACTTACATTTCAATAAAGATTGAGCCAAATGGTAAAATTCCTCCCAGGCAAACAATAACTGCAGGCTCCATAAACCTGGAAAATATCAGAATTAACAGTGTACTTCTAGCATGATTTCACAATAGATATAAATTCCAATAATACACAGGTGATGTGTCATACTTTAAAACTCATCCCAATGGATAAAGACAAACCAATAAAAAGAAAAACCATATCCAAAGAAGCATAAAAACGTGGGTGAAACTTGAAATTAGTCATCACTTGTAATCAATACTCTTTGCAGCATTAAAGCTTCTGAGGAACACAAACTGTTGCGACTGCAGAAACACATTACCCAGATCCCCAGTTTTCAATAACCACTGAGAACTCTGTAGGCATTCACTTACAGAAACTTAAAGGAGAGAGGGAGAAAAGAGAAAAAAGTTGAGACCTCTCTCTGAACTGACATTGCCATTTCTTTACCCATTTTCTTCTTGGCTCTAATTCTTTTCCAACAAATTAAACCAAAGTATTGCCAATTTTGCTTTACAAGAGGGCAAAGAAAGACTAAAAAATAAAATAGAAACTTCATCCCATTTCCTAGCCAACAATCACTGAGTGAAAATCATCAAATCTCCATGTAAATGTCTTTTAACTTCATGTTCTCCTTCCAGCAGGTATGGGCAGTTCTCAAAGCCTTCCCTTTGTATACCAGGAAGACATGGCTTTTCCCCAACCTCCCACTGACCTAAACATCCCTCCACCACAGAACTTACTACACTGTGTCTGTTTGCTGACCTATATCAGGTGACACTAATTAGACTGCTGTTTTGGCAGATGCTATTCAGCCAGGTGTTTCTAGCCCTTTAACAGTGCCTGCACAAGACGACAAACTTTTATCTCTGCATTGAGCAAACTTGGGGGAGGGAGAGAGAGAGAGAGAGAGCAAACTTAAAAGTCATTTACCATAATCTTCCTTGTTTTATAAAAAACCAAGGTCCGGAGGTTAAAACTCCTCATCTGTCCCAGATAGCCATCCAATAAAAGCCATATCTAGTACTCAGATTTTGATTCCACATAATTAAAACAAAAAAATGAAGCCACACACCACCATGCCTACACCTAAAAGAGACCCATCTAGTAAACAAGGCATGTGTTGTTCACACCTCTCCTCACTAACCCAACTTCCCAAAGATCTTCTGTGCTTTCTGACGAGGCTTTTCCTTTTACCTTTCCCTCTCTAGTAATAAGCTGAACGTGAGTGATTAATGGGCCCTAGTAATCTAATACTGATTTAGGGGGAAAGCAGTTTAAAAATGGACTCAAAACTCTTCAGTCTAAAGTTTCTTATAGGCACCAATCTAACTTACCTAGAAGGAAAGAAAAATTATACAAGTAGCTTGAAGACTTTTCTATAATTCGAAGTGTTTCAGATTTTTCTGGTTATAAGGCCTCTGTTATAACTAACTGCTCTGTCAACTCTGATGCCAGAGAGTAAAAGAAACCTTAAGTAGTATATGAAGACTGAGTATGGCTGCATTCCAACAAAACTTTACTTACAAAAACAGGCAGCAACAGCCAACAGCCAGGCAGTGGTGGCACATGGGCTTTAATCCCAGTACTCAGTGTACAGAGTGAGTTCCAGGATGGCCAGACTACACAGAGAAACCCTTTCTCAAAAAAAAAAAAAAAAAACCAACCCAACAACTAAACAAAAAAACCAACAAAAACAGGCAGCAGACACATTTGACCTGCAGGCTTAAAAACTGTTGAAGCTTTACTTCCCACCCACCTCTATACACTAGCATATTTATCTAAGTTTTGACATGTGACTAGCACCAATATTCAAAGCAAAAGGAAGGCATAGCTTTATGTATTCTTTACAATGTAGACTGATGGGAAAATTAAAATGAACAAATTCTTAAACAGTTGTTTGCATAAACACAAGCTGATTCCAAAGTTCCACATACACAACAGCCTTAAGAACTTATGCACTATGACAACAATCAAATAAGCTTAGGCATTCTCTTTACCATTTTTTCTCCGGGATAGGACGAGGCACAGCATTGACACGACAGGGGAAGTTGGGCTGACCTGACAGATTTCGGCCAAGTATTGTACCAACAAGATTTAGAGGAAGAATAACAAAAAAACAGATGCAACAAACGGCCACCTGTAAATTAAATAAAAATGTGTGTGGTTACTCAGAGAACAAAAACACTAATAAAAACAAGTAAAAGACACACCTGAAAATTTGAACACACTGTGATCACAGAGAGAACATTCACCTTTGAGGCCTAAAATGATGGGCGGAATGAACCGCTAGAAGCAGAAAAATGCTCACACTGAGTCACAAACTGAACTCTTCTTCTCTCCCCACCTTAGCTCCCATTGGCCCTAGCCGTCCACACTGTCCCCAAGAAAGTACCTTTAGATCTCTTACCCTGTCAGCTGGCATGCTTTTAACATGTCTATCCCTTATCTTTCATTATTATAACCTTTACTGAGCGTTCCAACCAAGGATCCTATAATCCAGATCCTGCCAACTCACAGATCTAAAAAACATGTTCACTGTGTCCACGGAGTTTCAACATGCTAGCTCATAACTCTCCATCCTATTTCTTAGGTTACTTCAGTTCTTTAAAAAGATACTAGACGTGAAATGAAAACAGTACCTCGGAAAGCCTTATTAGAAAAGGACATTTATAATTACACATATAAAACCAAATCTAACAAATGGAGCTTTACCAAATACAGGACTAACTTAAGATTAGACAACCAGTGCTAGTCACCGCCATCTCAAAAGATGCAGGAAAAAGCTGCTGCAAAACCCAACCTGCATTTCCAACAAAGCAGGAACAGCAGGGCCTTATTAATCTAAAGAAGGGCATCTAAGACACAAGGCTTGAATATCCTCCCCAACCTGGCAAGTCTGTGCTTGCCATGTCTACTCAGGTACTGCACTTCTTAATGCAGTTTATACACAGTATATTCTAAAAGGCAATTTAGTTAAGGAGAAAATGCCCACGTCCACTCTATCTCCATGTGTACCTATCTATGGCGGTGCAGCCACCAGCAGGTGCTCCAGAAGGGCTGCAGGCAAGGACAGCCCTTCCAATAGAGAGCACTCTGTGCAAATATAATTCTCAAATTTATCTCAGGGTTCTCAGGGTTTCAGAGATGAAACTATAGGATTTCTAAAGACAACATACAAGGAGAGCTTGCTACTGTTCAATTTGGCAAAAATAAATAAATAAATAAATAAATAAACAAATAAATCCCTAAACAGGACAGTTATAAGGACAAACTAAGAATGGGGGGGGGGGAGTCTATCAATATACTACTCTTCAAAATTAGTAACTATGTCCTTAAATAGAAACTCTTGAGAAAATTAAAAGATAAGCCAACAAGACAAGGAAGGATGTGGGGTGCATGCTTGCATGCGTGTGCGTGTGTGTGCGCCCACGCGTGCTCAGAGCTTTCCAGCTTGGAGCTGCCCAAACCCTTTGGATCCCAGTTCTAGATTCTGAACACTGAGCCACAATATTTGATTTATTCTGCTAAATTGGGAATTTTGCTTTAATCTGGTTGTTCCTATGCCTTGGTTCTCCCTTTTTGGAATGTACACAACATGGTTTTGATTTTTTGGGTGCCTACAGTTAAGAGACTGGGTTCCAAAAGAGACCCTGAACTTTTAAAGTGACGAAATACTTTTGATATATTTTTTTTAATATTTATTTATATGAGTGACCCGTCTCCATGCACACCAGAAGAGGTAATCAGATCCCATTATAGATGGTTGTGAGCCACCAAGTGGTTGCTTGGAATTGAACTTCAGGACCTCTGGAAGAGCAACCAGTGAAACTGAGCCATTTCTCCAGCCCAAGAAATGAAATTTTTGAAGACGGAACTTTTAAAGGTATACTGTATTTTATATTATAATAGTAGTAAGATCTTGGGGAACAAGAAGGGAAAGGTTATGATTTAAAGTAGTATGTGTGTTAAAGACAAGGGGTAGAATCTCATCGTTAGCATCAGTTGTTCACCTGATACACTTGGGAAGAAAGAATCTCACTTGAAGAACTGTAACCATCAGACTGCCTGTAGGCATACCTGTGGAACATTTTCTTGATTCTTAATTGATGGAGGGGTGTCCAGCCCATTTTAGGCAGTTGGTCTTGAGATGTGTAAGAAAGACAGCTGAACATGAGGCCAGAAGCAAGGCAGTAAGCAGCACTCCTCCATGGTTACTGCTTTAAACTCCTACCTTGAGATCCGCTCTGGCTCTCCTCAATGATAGGTTATAATCTTTAAGTCAAATAAACTCTTTTCCCAAGTTGGTTTTGGTCAGTGTTTTATCACAGAAACAAAAAAGCAAATTAGAACTCTGATCACCATAATAGAACACTCATGCTTTCTGGTATTTTTTTTCTCTAAAGTATATTCATCAGTTCTCTCCCATCTCTGATAAAAGCTATAAAATCAACTTTTCACTTCACAGAATCAAGAAAATGTAGGGTAGGGGACCTTGGGTTTAAATTTAACCAACAGTTTTTGGAGCCTAACAAAAACAGGGACTAGCGGACACTTCCTAACATCAGTAGGAAGGGGCTCTCGAGAGGCAGCAGAACTTGTATTAGAATTGTTATAAGCATCCTGTTTCAAATTAAAATTCAAGCAACTCACCATTGTTCCAAAAGGAATGGCTCTAGAGGCATGATAATAAATGGCTATAAAGTTGATGAAGAAGGCAGTGCCACAGACCATAGCTGGAATAAGGAATGCCCCAATAAACATCTGCTTTATCCATCTCCTTCCTGAAAGAAAAGGGAAGCTATAAAAAATTCAAGCTACACAGACAAACATTCACTAGTGTTTAAAATGTATTATGTAGTTACAAGTTATTTACTTAAAAATTCAATACAAAAAGGACAGGTGTTGGTGGCACACGCCTTTAATCCCAGCACTCGGGAGGCAGAGGCAGGCGGGCTCTGTGAGTCCGAAAAACAAACAAACAAACAAACAAACAAAATCCATACAAAGATTATTAACCTGATATACTAATAATTGTTTCAAATCAATTATCTAATAAAGACCAGTCTAGCTCTTCAAGTCTGTGAAGTAGAAAGTTTATAAAGTACTTGTACTAAAAAAGAGAAATGACCTGCCATATAAAAATACTCTGACATCTTTATTTTGATTCTGCCATAGAACTGCCCTGATTTTGTACGCCATTTCTTATGGCCTGGATATAAAGCTAATTGTTTTTCTAGTTCTAATTCTGCCAGAGATTTTTCATTTTTAGTGGTGGAATTACCATCCCAAATCTTAACACTCCTCCAAGAAACTCAATTCTGAACTTTCTCTTGTAGCTCCCTTCTTTTTCATAGGAGACTCAAAATATCATCAATTATAGGAGTGACAGCTAAAGTGAAACTACTGTTCTATTTTTCTGTTTTCAAGACAGGGTTTCTCTGTGTTGCTATCTGTCCTGGAACTCACTCTGTAGACCAGGCTGACTCAAACCAGAGACCTGCCTGCCTCTGGCTCCTGAGCACTAGGATTAAGGGCACAGGCCACCATCACCCCACCTTCTTCTATTACTTTAATTGACAACTCCATCCTAACATTGTCCTTTCCTACACACTGCATTTGCCCTCTCAGCTGCAGACATGTACTAATGAAATTCCTTGTCTACTTCTAGTTCCCTCTGTCCCACACACATCAGTTGCTCAGACATCTGTGCTGTGCTTCCTACTGCTCCTCACACCTGTGGAGACTCTGGTCAAAGACTGTATCTACTACACTGAAGGCTAGAACAATGAAAAGATCTGGAGCCTCAGGACAATGCAAACCTGAGACAAATGAAATAGTCTCAATTCTCTGAGCTGACCTCGCTATTAATCTGAATTTTTAGGGATTGTCCGGACAAAACTATCAGCACAGTCTCAGTCAGAACACAGTTTTTAAATTATACTTTCTAAATTCTGACATTCCTTACCTGAGCCTGTCAACCTTACTTGGGTCTCATTTGTTTAGCCTGACTGGTTTCCAGCAGTAGAAGCCACACCAAGTACCTTGCTCCCTTAGGATGTCATCCTATCCAGCAGGACTTATTTCCCATCCCTATCCCATACATATCCATAATGATAGGTCTGCAGACCATCTAAAGAATTGCCTAAAACAGAGGCACTGTCCACATTGTATCTAGTAAAATCTACAAAATAAGCAATAGTAAATATCACCATCCAGGAGAATTTTAAATGATCCTCTGCTCTGATTTCCTACCTATAAAAGTTTCCAGGTTTCTGTACTTGCTATTCTTGAATTTGTGACAATCCTGCTAACTCAGCCTTCAAAGTACTGGGATTATAGGTATGTGCCACTGTAACCAGCCCTATCCTGCTCTTAGTACACAGCTCAGTGTATACAAACACACACACACACACACACACACACACACACACACACACACACACACAATAATACAAGGCAGGATCTCCTAATGCTGACCATGTTTAGATAAGCTGGGGGAAAAAAAAAATCACAGTAGATTATCTCTATACTTAAGAGACTTGAGGTCCTTCAAAACCTTTCAGTTGTAAGTAAAAATATGCATATGTACCAATGTAAGAACGTTTCTAGCCCTAGATTATTACAGGTAGAGTAAAAAAACTTAAAGACCATCACAGAAAGAAGCACAATGAGGTACCACGCTCATCTTTTGGGGGCTGTAAAAGTAGAGGAGCAAAAAGGGTATTTAAGATGACACAAAATAACAGAAATGTTTGTGAGTCCTTTGATGAATAATGTAAGAGACACTAGTATCTGTTTCCTAATATCCTAACATTGTCCACGAGCTTTATCTATAAGCCACTATGTATCCACAAAACATACTTTTATAGTCACCCATAAAAGTTACTTTATGGATGAATATAAAGGCAGGCTCACCAAGAGCATATCTAGGGAGCTAAGTACCTCAAAGAAACATAACATCAATAATTTAGATGTACTCTTGTACATGCTCTTTGGTGATAACTTCACAATGGAGATAATCTATTAATTATTCATAATTTCAGGAAATAAAACACAAAGGTTCCATAAAAACAAGACAGAAAACATAATAAATAGATTTGATAGAGGTTATATGCACGATATAACAGAGGCCTTTACTATTTGTACAACCTATACTGCCCATTTTAAATTTCAAATACTTCACAGTAGAAGCATACCATCAATAATTAGAGTCAAGAGTGCTAATTCCTAAGTTACCTCCTTGTCTGGCATACAGACTTCCTCCAAAATACCCATTCACTGGAGATGTAGCAGCATAGACAAATATGGCGGTACTGAGCATTGATCCCCTCCTGCAAAGGCATAAAAATATGTATGATAAATTAAAACAGAACAAACCAAAAACATGGAGTCTGTCCCCTTAGCATTACTTTAGGTTCAAAGATCTATTTGGCAGAAAGAGAAAAACATCCTATCGTGGATTGCAAGAAACTATAGAATTCCCAGTCAAAGGTGAGCTTAAATGGTACTAAGCTGTGTCTAGCCTACAGCTGAATTTGTAATACAGTCTAAATAAACACTGCTCATTCCTTTGGCATCAATAACAAGCTGGCACTTCACCTCTATTTACAACTCTATACAGCAGTTCCATCACAAGGAACAGAATATTCTCTGTTGAAAAAAGGATACCAGACTATTCCTTTTTTATAACTGGTTCAACACTAAGATTTTTGCCTGCTACCAAAAATAAAATTCAAGTAGATAATTTATATTAATTGCTACTCTATTTTAAATGACACAACATGCCAAGACTTACTTTATCTAGTTTCTTTTTTTTTTTTTTCCTATAAAAGATGAAAAAATACCTACTGGCCCTCAAGGCAATCTTAAGTCAGACAATCTATAACCTCTTTCCAATAATGGTATCTAGAGAATTAAACCAGCCAACATGTTGAGTGCAACTATAAAAAACTATTTTTAAGATGCTTAGTTGAGATATTAAAATGACAGTAAAATTTACTATAAAGTAGAAATATTTACTATTTATTAATGTCCTACACACTTCAGCCCACTGGTTTTGCACTATGCAGCATCTGTTCAAACACCTGTGCTCATTTCCTTAAAATGGCTGCAAAAATAGATAAATGCACAGTCCATCTCAACAGTGAAGACACAGCAGTGTTTAATTTCTATCCACATTCAACTAAATCCAAGTGTAACAATTTAACATTCTCAAAAAGATCACCGGTCTCAAAATTAATCAGTTTAAAAAAACAAATCTGTTTTTTCCAAGAACTCAAACATCGTAAGTACTAATTTTACTCCTTCCACACAAAGATGAACAAATATGACCCATTCTCTTTATAAATGTGTTTGTTAACTACAAAGAAAACAGGGATAGTTTTAATGTAAGCTGAGCCTACTTCCAGGCAGATGTTCTTAGTATTAACAGAAAGACCTCAAAAAGCTGGCCCAGAGTCCAAAATTCTTCCAGGTTCAGTCTGTAGCACTTTAGCATTCAGAACTATCTTTTGTTTTTTTGTTTAAAAATATTCTACAGGCATTTACCCCTACTTTCATTTACAACGAAGAGTCCAGAGTGGCAGCCATTCTCACGGCAGAAGGGAGGCATGGAGAGCACAGGAGGTGGATTAGCAGGCTCTCTCAGGAGCTAGAGATTCACATCAACTGGAAAGCACAGTGACACTGTTCTTCTACCTACACCTGCCAATGTTTTCCTCCATCTGTCACAGTGATCACAGAGGCATAGTCATTCTCACCTATTTCCTTAGCTGCTCTGGGCTAAAGGTAATTATTTCACAACAGCGATTTATTCCACCTTTGCATGCATTTCACTATTCTCACCATTTCACACTGCCAGATAACATTGTACATTAAAAACTCTACAACTCCATCAAACCCAGTTTATCACCCTTTAGTAGCAGTGCCTAATTCAGTCAAATTACTTTACCTCTCTGAGCTTTGCTTTCCTGCCTGTAGGATAGAAATGTAACTTACAGGGTCGATGTGTACACTGAAGGTGCAAATGCATACAAAGTAAAAACATGGAACCCTGACGTCATCATTTCTCCATCATAACAATCCTGACATCTTTACCACTTTTAAATAACTACACACATCAAATAAACACAACCCCTACTTATCATAGTAACAGGCAGAATATTACATAACCTGCCCCTAATACCACCTATTAAAGAAAAGCTTCTTATATCTAAAAAAATGAAGGGCATTAAATTAGAAGAGTTTGCATTAACAAGAGTTGCCAAATTCTAACACTATCATTTTGAAAAGAAAATCAAAGCAAAACTTTGGACTAGCAAACAGAAACTGGGCTACTAAAAAGTTACTTCTTAGTCACAACAGTGAACAATGAATAGGGTTAGCATCGACTCTAGAGACATTCAGAATCAGCACTTAACATAAAGCATGGATTTGTTGTTTGTTTTCTGGACATGGTTTCTCTGTGTAGCTCCAGCTGTCCTGGAACTCACAGAGATCCACCTTGCCTCTGCCTCCCAAGTGCTGGGATTAAAGGTGTGAGCCACCACCAGCCAGCTTGCTTGGCAGATTTGAAATGTTCAAGATTCAGTTCACCTGAAAATAAATTAGAACCCAAAATATAAACTACCCACCAAAACTCTGCAGTTTAAATTTGGTTCAACTATTTTAAAATGTAAATGAATGGCAATGCAATGGGGTTAGATTACAAAAATATCACAGACATTTTTGAGGAACAGCTTGTTTGGTTAGTACCCATTCCCTTCAGTTAAATAAACATTAACTAGGTACTTTTATATGGGTAGTCTAAGAATTTACCAAGACCCAGTCCTTTTCTCAAGAACTATGCAGCAGAGGAACAGCAATTTAGTATACGGTTAAATTAAAAAACATTAATTATTATTGTGTATGTGTGATCTGTGCCTGAGTGTGGACATACACATTACAGCACGCACATGGAAGTCAGATGGCAACTTTCTGAAGTCAGCCCTCTCCTTCCACAGTGACACCAAACTCAGGTCATCAGGGTTGAGGGGAAAGTGCTACTTTACAACTAAACAGCCATTCTTTTAGCAGCACAAATTGATTTCTTGTCCATGAAATGCTACGCACATATAAGAAAGAATGTACAATGAACTGAAATGTAACTGGAGTTATTCTGACTGAGGACTTCATAGGCTGCTTTCTGATGCCTGAATTATAATGAATACCGAGACACCACAGTGCTTTTGTTTGTACATGACAGGACCACACTCACCAGCAGCCTGAGCTGGTTTAGCAGGTAAAGGTAAATGTAAAAGGTAAAGGTAAATGGTTCGGCAAGTAAAGGTGCTTGCTGCCAAGCCTAACAATCTGAGTTCAATCCTGGGAACACATGGTAGAAGCAGAGAACCAACTCCTGAAAGTTTCCTCTGACCTCCATATTTGAGCTGAGGCAAGCACATGCCCATACAAACATACATTTGAGCACAAACACTGATTTAAGAATCGTTGGCAAATGGTTTTGCTAATAAAAAAGTGTACCCAAAACCATGCAAAGATAGCATACTGACCAAGGACTCTTAAAAAATAAAACAATATTGTAAAGTGTTTTGCTTTACTCCTAAGGAGGTCTCAGTCTGAGTATAAATGTGAAGTATTAATTTGGTAACTGAAATTATAACAATCCAGTTGAATCTAAAAAAGTGCCTGTTTCCTTTTTCAAACAGCTCTGACTAAAGTAGCTCTGCCTCTCTAATGGCATAACCAGTGTAACTTGGAATGTTCAGCAATGATGGAAAGTTAAGCATGTACAGGAAAACATGATTTAAAGTTAAAAGTTAAGATTTGTCTGCAATAATAGCATGGACAGTACTAAAATTCTAAATTACTAAAATAAGTAAATATTTAATAATGCTTGACATTAGATTACAATAACTAAAAAAACTATTTACAACAACAAAAAGTGGTAAAATACAAGCACTTACTCTGTATATAAATCCTCTATCATGGCAACAATAATAACAATGAGAGACACAGCAAATATCTGACATCCAGAACCAATGAGAGAAGAAAATATCAGAGGGTGACTTGATGGTCTAAAGACATCTCCATGCACTTGCTTCCATCCATATTCATCTCCTAGGTCTCTGTCCTGTATAAGACATATGTAAATATGTACAGAGAAAATTAACCCATTCAAAATCAAATTAAAATACAGTAGATAGGAAAGAAATTAGTTATAAGCTCCCTCCTTCCACACATACAGCTTTTTAAGAGTTCAAAATACTGAGGATAGACATTTCAAAGTTAAAGTAACTCCTGTCCTAACAACTCAGAACGTTATGTGTGCTGTATTGATATTCATGAAGGTAAAAGGGGGAGGGGGCTGGGGGACTGGGAAGCAAAAGGAAGAGTGAAGGACTCAGGCCCTACCCTGCCACTTACATTGTGACTAAGGTTTACCACCATCAATGGCCAAGCAAACAACACAAGAAAAGTGTATTCCTACCAGTACTTACCCTAAAAACTATTAACTCCAACCCTATTAACTCCAACACTAGGCAAGCACTTTCCGCACTGAACCACACCATCAGAAAAATAAGGCTTGTCTCAAATTCCTGGGTTCATGCAATCCTCTTGCCCCAGTCTACTGAATATATGGAACTACAGGTATCTGCTATTGCACCTGGCTTTATACCGTCTTTGAAGCCCAAGAACCCTGAATTCTGAAAACTCACCTGTCCTTACTAACTTTAGATGAGAAACTGTAAATATTCCAGCACTGAAAATACAACCAGCTGGAGAGACGGCTCAGCAGGTAGAGTCTAACCACCTGAGTTCAATCCCTAGAATCTATGTAAAAGTGGAAGGAGAGAAACTGACTTCATCAAGTTGTTCTCTGACCTCAACACACATGTTCTGGCATGCATGCCCACAGACATCATACACACAGACAATACTAATAAATTATTGTTTAAACTTTAAAAAATATATTAAAAAGTCTGGAGAAATGGCTTAGCAATTAAGAGCACACACTGCTCTTTGGAAAAACCCAAGTTCAATTCCCAGTGTCCACATCAGGTGGCCTTCAACCACCTGTAACTCTGGCTCCAGGGGGAATCCAACACATCTAACTTGTCTAAGCACCTGTAACACACATGCACGAACATGTGCACACACGTGCACACACACCTAAAAGAAAATAAATTCAATATATGACAAATAGTTTCTATTAAATATAAAATAGTGTTTACTCACCATGTCATCCATTTCTTCTTCTTTACTGTATCGGGCATAATCTTTTCTTAAAGTTCTCATTAAAATCATTGAAACTAAACCCACTAAGAAGATCACCATCATGAAGGAATTGAAAATTGAAAACCAGTGAATCTAAAATAACAAAAAATAAAATGTTACCAGTGTGAAGTATCACTTATAAAATTCATGTTTTATGATGTCAACTATAGGTTAACAGGAGAAAAAAAGGATTTTCCTACCTTTTATATAAAAATCCAAACTGCGGACACATTGGGGTAAGTGTTCAGAATGATAAGGACTAGCCTTCCTTATAACCAACCTTCATGAAAGCAAGCTATCATCTATACAGATTTTTTCAAGTCATATTTACTAAACCACTTAACTATTATTTAGCCATAAGGCATACACAAATCAGCTTTACATGGAAAGCACATGGGCAATGGAATCAAAAAGGCCTAGCTTTTAGCTTAAGTTCCACCAACTTCATGTAGCCTCAGCTCTCTCATGTGAAAATGGAGGCAGCCCCCTGTGCTGTGTGCAGTATAGAGACGACGCAAGGGCCCGGCACTGTGTCTGGCAGGAACAGTAGATGAGAAATGTTCTGGCCTCCTAACTGACCAAAAGCTGAAAACCACCTTAAAATACCGCAGCCCCCACCATCACTCCTGCTACTGTGGATATAGGTTTCCTTCTGAAGATCTGCTTTCAGTTAATCTTGCCATATCATCCTCATAGTCAGTTCTTTCCCAAGTAGTCACTCCCAATGGCTACTACAAGAAAATACTCCTTAACTCCTCAATGTTCTCAAGGCCCTTGCCTGTGGCATCATCTGTACATTTGTCACAAAAATATGTCCAGATTATGGCCTATAGTTACAGTATATAGTAGTTATAGTACTACTTTATTGCCAAAGTATATCTAACTTAAACTAAGTCTGTGGTTTTATACATTTACTCTGTTATTTATATTTTAACCTCCCAAAGGTCTTAAGGGTATTTCTGAAGTTTCTCTCCTCTTCAAGTTTCCAACTCCATGTTTGCTCCTGTCTTCTATCATCCAGCACAACACAACCTTCCCAGATGTATCCTCCTAGATTTGCCCTGTTCATTCCCACTAAGGGATTTTCCTCTCTCATTCTGTACCCCACCCCCCATACACACGTCAGCACCCAACACCCAACATCCACAGCACCGCCTTTGCCTTTCTCCAGCATCAGCAATCTCCCTGTATGATGGGTACAGCTTTTACTCGGGATAATATGCTGAGGATGTGCACCAAGGGGAACAACAGTTTGGCTCTGTGACCCTCCCTGAGCTTTGGGGATAGGACAAACTCTAAGGCTCTTCCTGAAGAGCAGATTGCCAACTGTCTCTGCCTCAGACAAAAACCTACCTACCTACCTACCTAACTTCCTTCCTTCCTTCCTTCCTTCCTTCCTTCCTTCCTTCCTTCTTTCCTTCCCTTCCTTCCTTCCTTCCTTCCACCCTCCACTAACTTTACCTAGTGAGCACCTGCTAGAATTATAAACAAAACAATGACTGCATATTTTGAAAACTTTGCAAAAAAAAGGAGTATTTAAGTTTATCATAAAAGCAGAACTGAAAAATTTGTTTAAAAAAAAAAAGCTGTCTGTACTATCAACCCAATGGATTCATTTGCTTCAATTTCCACTTGTATTGTCTACTTCCCAGAATCATTACAAGGTTTAACCAGAACGCAGAGAATAGTGTACAGCACATCACAAACCCTATGCTATGACTACCCACATCTTTTACAGTGTCTATTACATTTTTTGTCCTATCAAAAATAACCAACATTTTTCAACACTTCTTCCTTATTTCTTCACAATATGATCTGCCCCCAAGACCTGCAATGAAGGTCTGATTTTTTTCAGCAATTATTAATTTTGTATATATGCATATGTGTGAACAGAACAGAGGACAGTTTATAGAAGTTCTCACATCCCATGTGGGCTCCAGAGATTAAGCTGAAGTCATCAGGCTTGGGGGCAACAACTTTTACCACTGAGCCAGCTCACTGACCCCTGCAATGAATTTCTAAATTGATTCACAAGTTGGGTGATCTGTTCCCTCTCCCTATCTCTCTGCCAATTCTAACCTTTGCTGGCAAACATCTCAAGTCACTTTTCATCCTTTTCACCTTTCCACTCTGTTCAGCCTTAGCCAACTTAACCAAAAGGTCCAGTCTTGGTATTCAACCACAACTCCCTAGGCTCAAGAACTTTTAGCCAGCTTTCCAGTGATGATGATGTAACACCTTCAGCCTTCATCTGCTCAAATCTCAAGCTTTCACTCACCTTCAAGGTTCAGACTTTCACTAACTACAATAATTCCCACTTAAATGCCTTCAAGGAATTTCAGGCTGGGACTACCCTTAGCAGATTTATCATCTTTCCTCAGATATGCCACTCATTTCCTATTCTCTAGCTTCTATTAATGGAACTAACATCTGGCTTTGAAAATTTAGAGTTATTTTTGGTACTTCCTTCTCCTTAATTATTAATAAGTAATAGTTATTAAGATTTATTTTAGTTTTAATTGTATATGTATAGCAGTGTATGGGTATATGCACACCTGTGGGAGCCAGAAGAGGGAGCCCCTGGCACTGGAGTAACAGACAGTTAGGAACTGTCAGACATGGATACTGGGAATTTAACTCAGGTGCTCTGCAAAAGTACTGTGTTCTTAACTACTTAGCCATCTCTCCAGCCCTAATCATTAAACTTGTTTTCCTTCTAAACTTATCCCTTCCTCTGCATTCCCATGGTATCACCTCACAATTCAACAAGTCTAATTTCCCCTTGGCCTTTTGCTGCTGTTTGAGCTCTCTCCTTCTTTCCAATGTATGCTGTACAAAGTTATCAAACAAATCTTTCTACAATGTGATGCTCATTATCATTACTCTGTTTTAAAACTTACAGAGCTCAATTTCCTCATATCCAGCAAACCAATTTCCCAGGGTTCTTACCCTTCCTGTAACATCGCCTTCCACATCTTCAGCAGCCTTTCTCTCAGTTATATCTTATAGTTCCATCAGTTTTACCCCTTTTCAGTGACCAAGGGTAACATACTCACTTTCATCTTATTGTTCATATAATTTCTTCTCATGTGTGATTTATACTCCTTTGTAAATTCTCCCCAGTCTTCCAACTCCAAGTCAAATAGTGCCCTCTCCACTATAGAGCCTTTCACTTGCATAGTGCAGTTATTCATAGAAAGTGTGCTCTGAGCTACATGATCCCAAGAACACGTAACACAAGGGTGTACTGGCTTGTACGATGAGGGCAGATTTTTACTTGGGCTAACATGCTAAGGAAGTGCATGAATGGGAAGGGCAGTCTTGGGTCTGCTACCTATGCTGGGGCTTCAGGGAGAAGACATATGCTATGGCTTTCTCCTCCCAACAATTAACTGAGCATCCACTGGATTTATAAACAATTAATGCAACACACTTTTAAAACGTTTGTCCCAAAAAGGCAATCAAATTTATCATAAAGGTATCACCAAGGATTTTAAAAAGCAGTTTATAATAATGGCAGACGTCTCCAAAGATGGGATTTTTGTTTCCACTTAGGAAATAACTCAAAAATGGTCAAGAGAAAGGGGGGAAAATGTATGACTCAAATCTTTAGTCAACTGATCAAGGTTTTAAAGAGAAAATTTTATATACACGTAGTAATAAGAAATGTATGTCTTAAATGCTAAAATTGCCCACATGAATGGAGCTAAAAATTATTACATAAAATAAAGCAGAGAAAGACAGGTACCCTATTATCTCTCTTGTATGTGGTGTACACAAGAGCTCTCACGAACCTGGCAGCAAACAATGGGCAGCAAGAAGCGTCAGAGACAGGAGGGAGGAAAGGTTGGATGTCAAAGTTATCAAAGAGTACAAAGCTACAGGGGGGAGAATGCAATGTTCTGGTGTGTTAGCACACGCAGGGTGCTTGTCTTTTGAAGGTATTATAGTTACTTATGTGAAATTATATGAAAGGGTTCTTTTGTAGGTATCCGATTTTGTAGGTAGATAATAACAATGTACAATACATTTCAAAAGTAGATTTTGAATGTTCTTTTCAAAAAACTTGTGTTACATTTATTTGTTTATCTGGTGGGTGTAAAGATGTCAGACAACTTTGGGAGTCAGTTCTCTCCTCCTGCATGTAGGTCCCAAGAATTGAACGCAGGTCACTAAACCTGGCAGCAAACACTTTTACCAGTTAAGCCATCTCATCAGCCCCTTATGTTTCCATACTGAAGCTTTCTCATAAATACATATAATCTGTATGTTTAAAATATAAATTTAAATTTTAAAGTATTAAAATCTCTAATAAGGTTCTTTGCTACTTTCTAATCTAAAAAATACAATCAATCAATCAAATAAATAAATAAATAATACAATCTAAGGTATAAATTTTAAATCAATACCTACATTAATACACTGTTAATTATCTGAAACTTCTAACATTTCTTTGGAATTACTTTAAAATTATTATACCATGTGGTATACTCTTGAAATTTTTATACCAGGAAAATAGTTATTAAAAATAATAAAACATCACTTATAGCCTTTTGGCTATGATTAAGTATAAAAATAATAAAGCACGCCAGGCGTTGGTGGCGCACGCCTTTAATCCCAGCACTCAGAAGGCAGAGGCAGGAGGATCTCTGTGAGTTGGAGACCAGCTTGGTCTACAAGAGCTAGTCCCAGGCCAGTCTCCAAAGTCACAGAGAAACCCTGTCTCAAACCCCCCCCCCCAAAAAACCCAACCCCCCCCCCAAAAAAAAGCAAACAGGTATCAGAGATTACTGAACCTACCAACTGCTGCACTCCAGTGCCCCCTAGTGTTGCTAATCCTAAATGTCACCCTCTGTTTATTGCTGAATTCTTAAGACTCTAACTGGAGATAACAAGAAACATCACCAACAATGCTGCCTTGAACTGAGCTCCAGTTTCCAGCCAAACCCCGACCTAGATGCTTTAGGCAGCCTACATGTGCTGGTGAAGAATGAGGACTATGGGAAGCATTTACTCCCTTTCTTGGTGTTCCATGTGGAAAAATTTATACTAGCAAAACCTGCACTGTTCTCTTACCCATACTTTCCAAGAAATGTGTCCCTTCTGTTGCTGTTTCTCCATACTCTAAGTTTTACCAGGGTAGGTGCAGATGTAGGGAAGCCTGCCAATAACAGTTCATCATCGACAGGTCTAATTCAAGTGTCCAATTATGAGTGTCAGTACTAAGAAGCCCGTTTGACCATTAGCATCAACTAACTACATTCTCCAATATTACCATCATTTGCAATTAAAGTGCTCTATTTGACTTCCACACATTGTGCTTTTCCCTGTATTTCTCTTAACTGGTTTAGATTACAGTATCATGCAAGCCAGTTTTAGCATTCCCAATCATCCTTATGACTCTAAATTTACATCTGAAATCACCAGTAGCTGTATCTTGAAATCCATAGTCCTTAGCACAATGACCCACACAGGGAGATGCTCAATGTGAAACTGATTTGCACACATGTAGTATCTTAAAATACAAACACCTACCCTATGTTGAAAAAAGGATGGATCAAGATATTTGTCGAATCGATCTTCAAATTTTACATCTGATTTTTTCCATTTTACCTGAAAAAAGAAAAAATCCCACTTGAAAATTAAGGCCAATAAATAATCAATAATCTAATGGCAAAATTAATATAAAATTCAGAAATACTGACTTGTTTAGAATTAAAATTAAATGGTGAGAAGACACTGGTGCACCAGAGGTTTAGGTTTTTTTTTGACTTCATGTGTATGGGTATGTGTCTGTCACTACACAAGTGCAGGGCAGGCAGAGGCCTGACGAGGGCACTGGATCCCCTGGAACTAGAGTTAAGTTGTGAGCAGCCCTGTAGCTGCAGAGAAGGGAACCTGGGTCCTATGGAAGAGCAATCAGAGCTCTTAACCACTGAGCCATTTCTCCAACCCCAGTACAAGAAGTTTAAACAAGTACAATATTACATCTTTCCTTAGCAGGATCATTTCAGCTTTCAAGGACTAATTACTGTTGACTGACATACTGACTGATACATGTGTTAGGAATTAACACCAACTCATGCTACAAACATTTAAACCAATTCAAATAAGAATCACATATTTTTGTCTTTAAATTGTGGTTTATGACAACTATTAAATTTCTTTGTAGTTATGTAATATTTACTTATATTGGGTACTTATAGACAAAAAGAATTTTCAAATTGGCTATAAGCAAGGGGATTCTTTTCAATGACCAGGAAAATAACTGGCAAAGAGAAAGTCTTCCTATATTGGACTGCCTCTTTTTTTCCATCATTTTTAAGCTAACAGAATAGAATTAACTTCATAGTTGCTAAAGGACTCTGAGAAGTTCTTACTGTGCAGGAGTAAGTCTTCCCATCAAATAATGCAAATCATAGCAATCTACACCTACCAGCAACTTTCATACCATTTCTATTTGCAACTGCAAATGAAAAGTGAAATAATGTGAGCTCCTACGACCTAAAAACATAAGAAAGATACATGGCTGAATTGTCAGCTTCTGGTGCCAACGGTATCTGTGTTAGAGCAATAGTCATTAAGCCAATGCATGGAATCCCATACCATAGATCTGGAGCACATACTCTTCCTTTAGGAGACTTAATGTAAATATACTGAGGAATTTTATTGCATCTAATCTTCAGCTATATTTTTATTTTCTAAAGTTTACGAACATAACCATTTCTTCCTGTATACAATTATTTTAAAACTTACTGAATATGACATCTGTATTTTAGTATTTGGAACCAATTTGACCTTTCCTTCACTGGTTAGATTAACATCAACAATTCGATTTCCATTAAATCCTATTTCAAGTTTTTTGTAGGTCCAAAGATAGTAGTCTTCCCCATTTTCATCTGCTTCACCAACAATACCTACAAAAGAAAAAACACTTCATACAAGGAATTCAAAGTGCCCAGAAGCTAAAAGTTCATTATTTTACAGAAGGCAATACTGTCATTATCTTCACGGTTAGCACAAGACAAAAGTGCAGGCTGAACTTCCTAGCAAACACACCGTGGACACACTAGTACAAAACAAGGAGAATCTTAGCATAAGTGGTCACAGATGTGACACTCAGAACTCACTCTCTGTCACCGCTAGCACCTCTGCTGCTGCAAGTTCCACCTTACTCGTGCACACTACCTAGTAGCTCAGGCTTTCAGAGACAGGCTATGTCACCATCTGTCAAAATAACCCAGCTACTTAGTGACCACACACATACACACACACACACACACACAGGACAGGAGGAGGAAAGGAAGAGAGGAAGAGAGGGAGAAAAGGGGGAATTCGTTTGCTTAGCTATTCTAAAAACTAGCCTTGGGGGTAAAGACACAGCTTCTCTAAAAGGCTTTTCAAAAGCTGAAACTTTTGTTCAAGAAACATCATACTGGAATTTTTCTTTCTTAACAAAGAAGGAAGAGGAATGCCCAAGTTCAGTTATTACAGATTATGCAAAAATATTTAAACATGGCAGACCCTGAAATTCTAATTCTAAAAACAGATTTTAAGGGGCTAAAGAAATTGCTCAGTTGGTAAAGTCCTTGCTACACAAGCATGAGGACCTGAGTTCAATCTCTACATAAAGAAGCTGGAGATGGTGTTAAGTGCTTATAATCCCAGGGCTTTAGAAGTGAAGACAGGAGGAAGAGTCTTAGGGCTCAATGGCTGGCTAGCCATGCCTATTCAGTGACTACCAGACCAAGTGAAAGATCTGTCTCAAAAAGAAAAAGAGGTCAGTATCTGAGGCACAACACCCAAAGATGGCCTCTGGCCTCCACATGCCCATAATGGACACACACACACACACACACACACACACACACACACACTTTATAACAAAGAACAGTTGTTGCTCTTGCTAAAGAGACTCAGAGCAATGATTAGGAAAACAAAAACTAAAGACACAGATTTTAAAAAGAATACAATGAGCCAGAGAGACGGCTCAGTAGGCTGAGGCACTTGCCACCAAGTCTGATAACCTGAGCTCAAACCCCAGGATCTGCATGGTGGAAAGAACAGACTCCCACTGTGCTCTGCCCTCCACATCCATCCATGCTGTGGCCCATGTGCACATTCCACTCCCCCAACACTAAATAACTGGACGTGATTGGGGCTGGGGCGGGGGTGTGAAACAAGGTCTCTTTATCTAGTCCTGGCTGTCTTAGAATTCATTATGTGGATCCAGGCTTGCCTCAAACACATAAAGATCTGCCTGCCTCTGCCTCTGAGATGCATGAGCCATAATGCCTAGTATATGAGATCTTTAAAAGTCCATAATAGCAGAAGAACTAAGAAAAGAATCTGTTTTCACTGCAAATGAAGAAAAAGCCTTGTTTAATGAACTCTCCTGAACTATAGGCTCAGAAATCTTCAGCAAGCATTTAAGCTATCTTCCTCGACCCTCAGAGCTGATCATAGAAATGCCTGTGTCCTATAACACTAATGCTTATTTTATATACCTAATTAACACATTGTAGAGTAATAACAATGCATGCAAATATCTATTGAGATTAGCTTTTCTTTTTTTAACACAGGGTCTCACTATGTAATCTTGAGTGGCCTTGGACTTGCTATGTAGACGAGGATGGCCTTGAACTCAGAGATCCTCCTGCCTGTTCCTCCCAAGACATTAACTTTCTTATACATTTTTTTGGCATATTAACCTCTGATCCAATGTGCTCAGTCAGTTTTACTACAGATGAACATAATGATCAGCTAACAATTTTAAGATTAAAAGACAATTCTTATACATAGAGCATATTTCTAGAGGCAGAAGAAAAATTTGTGATCAAACATGTTGCCTATGACAAATGTCTATTCCTTGCATTTTAAATAATTTAATTATTTATTTTTAGACTATGCATAGTTTGGTTTTGGTTGTGAGCCTAGCCTTTAAGGGATGAGCCATCTCTCCAGCCTGTATGCCTAAGTTTGTATTAATCATATTATGCCTCTTCCCAATAGTATAGATAGACAAGCAAGAGCTAAACAAGAATAATTCTTCAGCCCAGTGTGGTGGCAGGAGGCAGAGGCAAATGGATTTATATGAGTTTGAGGCCAGTATGGTCTACAAATCAAGTTCCAGGACAGCCAGAGCTATTACACAGAAAAATCCTGTCTCAAAAAAAAAAAAAAAAAAATTCAATATTGAATGTTTTGTAAAATGACAAAGGAACTGGTAAAACATTCAAGCAGTTATCATGCCCCTAAAAACATACTACTACAGTGTCACATAAAGAGGCAAACTTCAAAAATCCTATCAATCCTTCTAACTATATTTAGAGAAAATAAGCTGTGAACTAAAGAAGGAAATTTCACATGTTCCAAGAGCCTCTGAATTCCTTGAATCTGAAAAGTTTCACCATATAAGCCTTTTATTTTGAGTTTCCTATAAGGCCTGGCAGTACCAAAAATGCCTCCAGTAGGAGGAAGCCATAAAAATCAGCATTGAAGGGCAAATCTTTCCAGGGCAAAGAGTAAAAAAGCATTTCCATCATGATCTGGAATATGGTCACCTTAACTCACTGGTTATATGAAATCTTCCTTTGTAACAGAGCGTACTTACCCCATATTGGTAAGTCATCTATGTACATCTGGTACCAATAGTGATTCTTGATAGCATACACGAATGCATCTCTCTTCTCTTTATCTAAGTCAATTTCACAATAAGTACCTGGCATCACATCATCTGCAAAGTAAAAGCTACAAATTAACCTACTGGCCTGCAAGATAGTTACAGGAAATACAGCACAAAAAGAAAAGTCAGCATCTGCATGAGCTAATTTCTATTCCCAATATTTCAGTGATAAGCTTATGGGAGTTCAGTGAGCTATCCTATCCAGTTTTTGTGTATCTTTCATTACCTTACAATGAAAGATTTTGATCATCTTTATTTTCAAAGATTACCTTACACGAAGAAAACCCTCACTTAAGGAAATAATACAAGAATAACAAAGTCGCTTTAAAATAAACTGATATAAAAACAAAGAACAAAAGAAGCTTAAGACACAAGGAAATCATTTACTGTATGGGAAAGCTTACAGATGCGAGTCTAAGCAGAGATAAGAGTGTAGCTTAAGGTCACTCAAATACACATTTATTCCAACAGCACAGATTTCTAAATCATCAGTGGCCACAGCAGCCACGAGGACTCCCAGTGATCATTCGTCAATAGTAAGATCACACAAGGCTAGCCTCTATCTAATAGGCATTTTGTTTATAAATCACTCAAAAATCCCCTAAAAATGGGTCATTTCCATCCTTGATTGCTTGCAAATATAGTATTCTAATAATTGTGTTCAGATAGTCTTTAATTTCTAATGTTTCAAAAATATGTTTAAAAAATTCTAGATGACAATCAAAAAGATTAAACTTTTGATATATTACTTAAGCAATTACAACAATATAAATCTTAACAAGAACAAAAAGTGAATACATTTTCTTATACTGGTAACTTAAAATCTGAAATGTAATTTTCTCACAGAAACATGAATTTCTTTAGTATTAATGTTTCTTAAAAATTATAGATGAATGATTAATGGCTACCTGTCAACAATATTTCCTTATGAACTAGTGATCTGAATTACAACTTGATATTCCAGAGCACGTCTGAGGAAACAGCTTCCTCTCATGACAGATTAGCCCAGAGTGGATCCATCCCAAACGACAAAGCACAGTCATGTCCTAAGGAAGGAGGAGAGTAAGGACCCACCTACTCTTCCCCTCCAAGTCCAAGAAACTAATGCTGCCTATGACTTGCAAACACATTTTCTTTCTAACTCATCCCTGTTGGGCACAAAGGAATCTAGGATTTTCATAATGGTAGTCTCTAGTGCTGGACAGTTAAGAGTTAGGAAATGAAAGTGCTGTAAAGTTTCCACAGCAAAATCCAGAACTGTCAGCAGGAGGTACCCCCAAAGAGACTTCTATAGAGTACAATAATCTACAAAGGGCAAGGGCGACAGCAGTTCAGAAGGGACAGATGGAACCAAAGAAGGCTTGGAGTGCAACAGTTACTCTAGTGACTGTAAAGACTCACAGCTATCCTGCAAAGCTACTGTATGCTGTTACAAAAAGGTACTGTGTAAACGGTCATTATCAGTGTGGTAGTTTTAAGTACTATGATACACAGTATGCATTTACCTGTATAAAGGATTCCCCACAATCTAACGTCAATTAAACAGCTTCCTGACTAATACACCATCCTCTTCCCCTTCACTCTACCATGGCTTGACTGCCCACAAGCCCTGCAAACATCAACTCTCTGGCCTATGGAACTTGAGGCTCACAAAACTCTAGCAGGAAGGCCATTCTAAAATCTTTATCATCCCACACTTTCTCCTCCACAGAGTACTCAGTGGTTTAAATGTCCTTCTCTTGTAGAGAAACCAGGTTCAATTCCAAGTGCCACATTGGACCCCTTCACAACTGCTGATAACTCAGTCTCCTGGAGGATTCCATGCCTCTGGCCTACATAGGCATCTGCACCCATGCATGTGCTCTCTCTCTCTCTCTCTCTCTCTCTCTCTCTCTCAGACACACACATACACACTGCCCCTTTTGTTGAGGTTCCTAGTTTTATCACCAATTTATCATGGCACTGCAAAAAGGACAGTTGTTGGTCATTTTAATGAAATTCCTCTTTCAGACATGAAGGCAAATGTAAACATCACAAATAATTCAACAGCCTGACTGTCCAACCAAAACAGCATTCTTCTCTCAGGTGGGGAACCACTGTAAAGACAATGTGTACAATGATGCCAGGTCACTGTCCACATTCAGCATACCTTCCTAGCGTAAAACACAAACCTACAAATTCCGAAGAAGGAATCTTAAAGAGAGGACAAAAACAAAGCTATAAATTAGCATATGTTGATACTTTTCAAACAGATTATGACACTAAGTAGATTCCAGAACCTAAGTGCCATTTTGTGCCCAATAAAGGTCTAAAAAATAACACTGCAAATACTGAGTTCCCTGGGAATGTACTATGCTACCATACTTACACTTTCTCTTTTGATGGCATTACTAAAATGGAAAAGCAGATTCTGACCTCAAATTCAATAGCACTTAACACAGTTATTGTGAAATCACCATATATGTACAAAGAGACATGGCTAAAGTCTTGAGTTCTGGTTTGAGTTCCACTACTCACTAGCTACCTGAACAAAAGCAAATGGTTTAACCTCTGTGACCCTCACGTAGCCCTCAACTGCGAAACTGAAAACAACTGTGCTGACTCCTTTTAAGGCTGGAGTGTGAATGTATTCAGTGTTCTTAAGTATTTTTGACCTCACACTCTTGAGAGAATCATGAAAGTGTTACTTCCCCTGCCACAAACCCACCCCACCCCACCCCACCCTGCAAATAAATATACACCCACACAAAATTAAGTGCACAGTTTCAGAGTGCCCAAAGAGGGACCCCTGAAGCCAGAGGTCTGGTTAAACTCTACATTCACAGTCCACCACAGCAGAGAAGCATGGCAACAAGCAACAAGCATGGTGGCTGGAGCAAAACCTGAGGGCTCACAAACTGAAACACAAGCACCAAAAAGAGACGGCGAACTGGAATAGCTTTGAAACCTCAAAGCCCACCCCTAGTGACATACTTTCTCCAGTAAAGCCATATCTCCTAACCCTGCCCAAACAGCACCACCAACCAATAAGCAAGTATTCAAATATCTGAACTATGGGAATGGTCTCATAAAAACCATCACAAATGGAATGAAGAGCTTAATACATTTTTGGAGAAGGAAAAACAGAATATGACCAGTGACACATAACACGGGGAAAACAGAACAAAAGAGCTGCACAGAAAAAAGAAGACAAAAAATGGGACCGATGTTACAGAATGCCTAAGATACTGCAGACCTTAAAATGCAAACAACAGATGTAAGGGCTAAACATATAGAGTGATTACATGCAAATACTTATATGGAATGGACAGGATGGTAGCTTAGACCTTTGATCCCCAGGACTTAGAAGGCAAGAGACAGAAGGACCACAAGTTTGAAGCTAACCTGGGATACTTAACCAGATCTTGTCTTTTAAAAATCAAGCTGGGGATGTAACTCAGCGTAATTCCTAGGATCAAGAAGATGATGAAGTAAAAAATGATGACAACAAAGACAATAAAACAATGGCAAAGAAGACAAAGAAGAAATTAAGAAGGCTATAAGGCTGGAATCCCATGTTCTTTCCCCACCCACCATACAGCTAGATAAATATCCTCAACTTGTCTGTCCCCTGCTGCAAGAGACAAAAACAGAGAGTCTCTGTAGTGACAGTGGAAACAGCAGAAGCTAGGGACTGAAATCAGGGTGAGGGACTGCCTTCAGTAACAACCTTCCAGCTGAAGGAACGGACCTGCTATTCCAAGTTCTTTCCCCATCCTTTGGCAGTCAGGACTATTCTACCCAGGACAGCAATCACCATTTCTCAAACATAAACTATAGATCAGGTACTTTTTAAAGTACATTATCTCACTTAATCCTAACAATGATTCTATCAGGTATACTATTCCCCTTGCTTCCCAGACAAGAACCACAAAAGATCAAAGAGATCAAATTATCTGCCTACAACCACACAAGTAGACCCAGGCAGAGCTGAGCTATACCATGTCTGATTATAAAACACAAGTTCTTTCCACTCTATAACAGCAATGTTCTAAGAGATAGTACCCATAATTAGAATGCAATAAAATGAGGCCTGGCTCAAGGATGCCTAATATAGAACTGTCCTTGTATATTTAATGCATTTTCTCTAAATGGTCTCAATTAGCATTTCTGTCTAGCACTAGCATATTAAAAGAAAAAGAAAGGAAGGAAGGAAGGAAGGAAGGAAGGAAGGAAGGAAGGAAGGACCTGAAGTGAGAGGCATCCTACACAGCCCAGACCTAAACGGTCTATCTTCAGACAGGGACTGTGGTTAGCTCCTTAACATAATCTCTCTAGTGATCTTTACTCTACAAAATGGTACCAATCCAATTAGCTTCACAGAATCTGCTAGGTTAAAAAAAAAGTTTCTGTATACATGTGTATGTGTGTATGTTTCTGTTTATATGCATGCATGTGTGTTTTATGTGTGTTGTTTTCAAAATTTTACTACATATGAATATGCTTTCAGAAGAATCATTAAAAGTCAAATGCTTGATAATGAAAGACTAAAAACATACAGTAGCTGGATATAACGGAACTTGTGTGTAATCCCAGCACTCAGAAGGTGGAGACAAGAAAGTAAGAAGCTCAAGGCCAGCCTCAGCTGCATAAAAAATTTGAGGCCAGTATGAGTTTCTTAAGTCCCTATCTTAAAACACCTCAAAATAGTAGGTAGGTAGGTAAACAGACTGATCGATCAATGGATTGATCAACAGTTCACACTGAGACAGTGTTCTGGTTTCTACTTGTATTGTTAGTATGAGAACATCCTACCTTTAAAAGTTTATAAAAATGAGTAACAATCATGAACACTTTCAAAGCATGATCATCAATATCCATAAACTGAAGAAACAAAAGCCTACAGTATCGGGAAACAGAAAGCAATTGCCACTGGCTAGTTCAATTGGGCTACCCAAGTTAGCAGCTGTTTGGGCAGCATTTGACTGAAGGTATAGAGCTGGCCAGACCCCAAGAACTGCTACCTTTCTGTAACAACTGGTAGTTCTTTCATCCCTCTAGTGCTTAGCTTAATCCGAAAAGAAAACAAACCTTACTTTCAAGCTCATGGAAATGGCCTCTGACTATTTATTTCCATCTCAATCTCAAGGAATTAGAAGAAGAAAGGAAGATTAAGACTGCTGAAGAAATGTTTCTTCAGGTAAGTAAGGCATAAGGATTTCAAATCTGATGAAATCACTGCACCAAAGCAGACTTGAGGGTTTACTCTCTTGCTGGCTCCTCTCTAGTAAAGGAGACATGTCTACTACTGAATATGGAAAAGGAGAAACTAGGTGAATAAATAAAGCATTAGGGTTCTTAAAAACCACATGTTCCAGTTTAGTTTCTTCATATTTGTGATTAAATATTTCAATTACCTTATTAAATTAAAACATGCACTTCAGGGTATGTTTCCAACACTCATAAAATTATAGGCCACGCCACTGTGGTTTAAATTTATAACTCAATTTTATAATTAGGTCCCAAGAGGCATTAGGGAGGAGGTATAAAATATGTACCCATTTTCAAAACAGTAACAAAAAATGTCTGATAAATAAAAACATAATTTAATAAACCAAAATAACATTATCATATATCATTTCATAGCCTAGTCCCAATGCACTAAAAATATCATAAGGCAGGTACTATTCATATTACAAACCACAGACACAATGAAGTCAAAATTGGAGCAAACAATTGTATGTAAAAGAAATGAGGCAAAAAACAGTTCCTGAGTAGAAAGCCCATGTGTTCTATTAAAAATCAAGGCCCCTGATCAAAGATCCTGCAGAACTCCAACTTCCCAGAGATGCTTTAGCCATGGTACTACCAATGCCTGTGCAGGGAGCCAATGTCTGTGCAGGGAGCCAACACCTGTGCAGGGAGTACTCTAACAAGCTCCACAGAGGACACACTAAGAATAAACACACAGTCTCAAAGACAGCTCCAATAGACTCCCCTCAAGTTTAACAGTGTCTGACTTAAATCTTAAATATTCTATAGGTGCTAAGAGAATGAATTAATATAACAATACCAAATAAATTCTGAGTACACTGTACATGTTAAATCTGTGGTTTTACACAAACTTCTCAGTAACTACATTGGAGACCCAATCTCCAAAAATTATTATTCTCTGGCCATATATGTATCTAATAACTAAAGAGTTTACTGGAAAAATACTTTTCAGAAAAAAACTATGTTAGAAAAACATTCTATTAACAATTTACTTAGCTGAACATCCTGTAATGTACAACCTCATACAATAAAATTACCTGGCCCAATGTCAGCAAGAACTATTAATGTTGACTTACCTTTAAATTTAATATCCAGGCCACTAAATTCTAATTCAACTCCTTGAAGTGCTTCCCCCAAAGTTTCATGGTAATGACTGATACTTTTTTTTGACCCTACACAGAATGGAAGTGAAAAGTATTTATACGTTTCTTGGCGATTGTGGTAGGGCCCAACAGTATTCATCCATAAAACAACTTCTTCTTTATCTTGATACTGCAACAAGAAAAACAAGACATGCACTTTTAAAACATCTCATTCAACTAAGCGTATTGTCTACATTCAAGATGCTAAAAAGGTGAAACAGAAACTGAGTACCAATGCCTACACTTTCAAAATCAAGTTTCATGACCCCTAAAACTTTATCCTGACTATGGTCTCAGGATCCATTTTCTCCAAACTTTGTTTTGCAAAAGACAATGTTTTTAAAAAGTCCAACAGCTCGTAAGTGTAGGTTTATAACTAGTAAGTGTAAGGAATGGTAAGCCCCAAACCAACATTATTTGTCAGGGAAACCTGCACAAGGAAAGAGGAAACAAAATCAACAGTTCATCTAGAACCTCATGCTAATCATTAGATTGGCTCCTCCCACAAACCAATGTCAGCACAAATACATACAACTTTCCTCTCCTAGTTTTTCTTACATATACTGGCCAAAGTACTAGACAAGAGACAAATAACTAAAAAAGAAAAGCAACACTGTGAAACCAATGCAAGAACATTCAAAGCCAATCCCACTTGTCAGGACAGACTCACCTTGCATGTATATTTCTTTGAATAATTATACCTCTAACCATCAGTGAATATTACTTGTAGCCACATATAGGCCCGGGACAGTCAACTTCAGGTTTTTATGTCTTGGCAGTGGGATCTGCCAAAGATTTCTTAAAATCTCTATAAATTTAAAACCTATAGCAATATTAACTAGACACTATCAGATTTTTTAAAAAATATTTATTTTAAATATTTATTTTTAAATTGTGTAGTGTGTGTGTTCCTGTGTGTGTGTGTGTGTGTGTACACACACACCCTTGGAGGCCAAAGGCATCATATCTACCTGGAACTGGAGATACTGAAAAAAGAATTAATAAACACTTTCAATAAAAATCTATCATCTTTTTTTCTTTTTTGGTTTTTTTGAGACATGGTTTTTCTGTGTAGCCCTGGCTATCCTGGAACTATCTCTGTAGACCAGGAAGGCCTCAAAATCACAGCAATCCACCTGCCTCTGCCTCCACAGTGCTGGGATTAAAGGCGTGAGTCACCACCGCCCAAAATGTATCATGTTTACAACCAAATTTACCCCACTCAAATCTACCAGTTTCAACTCTGTTTTCCTAATGATACTACAATTCTCTAGACATGGAGATTCAAACCCAAGGCCCTTTGTCTTCCAGAGATCCTGAAGCCACTAACTCATCTACTCTTACCCCCTAAAATCTGCTTCTTCCTTTCTGCTCTTACCACCACCAGCCTAAATCATACTAAATGCCTCATTCTTCATACAAGACATCACTGAGGTCATCAAAGAAACAAAAACTTATCTTATTATTCAAACACACAGGCAGCATACAGCAAGCTCTAAGTTAAATATTAAGGCATATGGATAATAAAAAGATCCTTCTTGCCTGGCATAGTAGCACGTCAGGGCAAGATGACACATTAATCCCGGCACTTGGGAGGCAGAGACAGGTGGTTCTGAGTTCCAGGCCAGCCTGGTTTATGCAGTGCATTCCAGACCAACCAGAGCTACACACACACAGTCAGACCCTGTCTCAAAAATGAAGAATTTTTTCCTTCAAGAAGAATTTTCTTCTTCCCTTCAAGTTCCCAATCCACACAGAACCATACAAGTAAATGATTAACAACGGAGAAAAGGTTATAATTACAGAGAGCTATTACAGCAACAATAAAGGGACAATTATTTCTGCTTTAGTTGAGAAAGATCAGGGTGAACAGTAATACAGGAAACCATAAGCTGCTTCAAGCAAGTTCAGAAAACTACTACAGCTAATCTCCACTTGTGAAGTAAACAATCAAGGTTCTGAGTACTAAGGCCTCCATAGGCCTCTCCATCCATAACTGCTCCTTCTATTTGGGGGCAAGACTGACAAAGGCATATGCAGGCCATTGTTCTCCCATAATGCACAAGCACAGAGCGCTAAACTAAGCACTCTTTCTACTTGCACATCCCAGGAACTCTCCAAACTGAAATCTACAACAACCACTTCTCTCTCATCAGAGTTCCAAGAATTAAAACCTATTCACCAAGGCAAAATGTCACAATGCACAAAAGTACTTAATACCACTGGTAAATACTGAAGAAATAGTGGCATGTAAAGTTCACTAGCAACTTCATCAAAGTCTGAAGTATGCACGACTATAACAATATTCATTCAGAGATAAAAGAAAGGAGAGTGGGCAACACTTGAGAACGGAACATTGTATAGACGTGCCCACTAATGAGAACCTGGCCATGAATCCTGCTGAGACTGTAGAAGTGTTACATACTGCTCTAGAAAATACCTTTGAGCTAAACCTCAATATAAGTATCTTTAGGAATAAAAAAAAAGTGAATATAATTATTTCTTTAAAGTTAAGACATTCACTTATTTTATACACACTGCAACAGTCTGAGTTCGAATGTAGATTAAACCCACATTCTAAAATGAAGTTAGTCATTTTGAACACCTGAGAAGCCTTGACAGGCTGGTATAGAGTTGTGCTGCATGAGCCAAGAACTAGAACGTACATTCTCTGGTCCAAGATTCTCTCTCGGAAGAGGACTAAGGTAATGGCCAGAAACACAAAGTTGCAGGTGAACTGTTAGGACTGTAACAACAATGTGTCCCATTCCACACACAGTCTGCCTCTGGGATCAGAGCTCCAGCAGTAAGCAGAAACACAGGTGAGCTGCAGGTGAGCACCAAGGCACAAACAATGTTCACTTCTACCGGGCTCTTTTTATGCAGTCAAATAAATGAACCTAAAATGTTTATTACTGCATCCCAGACTTTATTTGATCCTGAATATAAGCGTTCCCAAGCCGAGATCAAGAAGTCATTTTCACTGAGCATAGTGGCACACACTAATCAAATGCTCAGCTGTAGCAGGAGGATTATGGGTTTGAAGCTAATCTAGGATACACATTGAGACCTTATCTCAAGAAAAACTGGAGTTTTATCTTAAGAGAAAAAAAAATGTTTAAAAGTATCTTGAAGCTCACAGAACCAAAAGGAAGATTTCAAAGAACCTTGTAAGGAGATAGGGAAGCTTTTTCTCCCCAAATCTGTAAAAGTGTTTTCCTTCACTAATCAACCTCTTAGAAACCTGTGGTAAAAGCTGGTCTACTTCCCTCCCAACACATCCCAAGAAGTCCTAGCAAACTCTTAAAATACTTTGCTCAGAAAAACTGCACTGGGCAACGGCCCTGAGAAAAAGGATGTTAAAATTACCTGAAAAATATATGTGGAGGAAAGGACTGTCAAGGGAGCAAGCATAGCAGGGTCCCTAGCATGGTGGCAATCCCTTCCATGTGAAGCCTCTGGAGGACACAGCCACAAGAAAGGGGGATCTAGCTGCTTGCATTCTTCGCCTAGTCACTCCCCAGCCTTCAGAAGACTCCCTGGAACACTACTTCTGCACTGTCCATTCCAGTCGCAAGGCTTTACCACTGCCCCCTTCCTTTTATACTTCACCGTTTCCTTCTGTCTCTCCCTGCAGTCACCATGCCAATCTTCTCCAGGCAGCCAAACTCTACTTGCCCTCCGAAGTGCTGAATGCTCCTTTCTCAACTCCTGGGTTAGGCCTTAACTGACCATCCCTTGCCTAGCATGACCTTATCAGCTTCTGCAATAGCACCACGCTGACTATCATTTTATAGCTACATACTAGGAACTAGGATGCCTAAAGTCTTTACAGAAACATGGAATCTCTCAAAACTCTGTATATAGGCCATATTATTTCGCCTGTTTTACAGATTCAAAACAAAAACAAGAGAGATGCTAAATAGTTTGTCCAAGCCATGAATGGTAGAATATACCAGTAAATCACAGCCTTTGGAAGGCTGAGGTAGAGGCAAGGTAAATTAGATGCCAGATCAGGCTCCACAGCAAATTCTAGGTCAGTCTTGACTACCTAGCAAGACTGTCTCATAAATAAATTGTTCAAGCTTATAAAATTATTAGTACCAAGTTTACAACCTAGGACTATACTTTTGTTGACTTCTAAATAGCTTTATTTTTTTCATTTTTTAGATTTATTTATTTATTATGTATACGGCATCTGTCTGTATGCCCATAGGCCAGAAAAGGGTGCCAGATCTCATTACAGATGGTTGTGAGCCACCATGGGGTTGCTGGAAATTGAACTAAGGTCCTCTGGAAGAACAGCCAATGCTCTTAACCTTTGAGCCATCTCTCCAGCCCCTTAAATAGCTTTATTAACCAAAAAGAACAAATAAATTTTAAAAAAGCACAGCTGCACAGAGCAACAGAAGTGTATAGCACTCAATGTACCAAACTTTTCCATTTGAGACTTTAATCTGCCCCAAAAGAAAAATACTACTTGTACTCTAATCTCTAAAGTCAAGACCTTCTTCTCAAGCAGTCATAGTATTGGGTCCCGCTTACTCTGTTATGTTTTGAAGTGAGGACCCCAAAACTTTCTTCCCTGACAGAAGTCATTAATTTTCCCCCTCAGGAGGAACACTGAAAAAGTGCTGCTGACCTCTTTGTGAAAAAAAAATGCCCCAAATTCTACCTTTCATTTTACAGGAAAGGAACATGTTGACTTTAAAATGCTTTAACCAGAGAAAACAAAATCCATTTCTGTATTTCAGAAATCAGTTTCAAAAGCCTTTCAATTATTCAAAACCACACATAAGAATGCAAATACAAATAAACTGGAAGTGCAGTTTTGAATCATAGGTTGAGATAAACATTTTCTTAAAACAGCTCTGTACCTAAACTTTCAGTCTATCATTAAGTACAGCTCCAAACAGGACCAAGTACAGCATTTCCTATAAACAAAGTCTGTCTGCATCAGCACATTCACAACTCACTTATAGGACATGCCTTATTCTAAGATAAATCTTCAAATATGTTTCTAAGTTCCTATACTTCTAACAGGGACTAAGACAAAGGCTGATTTGCCAAGCAAAGAAATCCTACTTCAGGGGCTAGAGAGCTCATTTGGTGGTTAAGAGCACTTGCTGC